ATCAACTAATCCAAACCGACTGCATCATAAAGACTGCCTACGTATCCTCTTGCCCAAGGAATCAAGCCGAACGTAGTTCACTCAAATGGCTGCCAACGGCCTCAACAATCACGAATGTGCAACAAGTTTCAACAATGATCAAACTTGTTGCTCGGAACTACCTTAGTGAGCATATCCGCCGGATTATCCTTCGTGTGGACTTTCACAATTTCCACATCGCCATCTTCAAGAACATCCCGAACGAAGTGATAACGAACGTCAATGTGCTTCGTCCGCGCATGAAAAACCTGATTCTTCGCCAAATAGATAGCACTCATGCTATCACAATGAATAGTGACGGACCTCTGCGATATACCAAGTCCCCCCAAAAGTCCTCGAAGCCAAATAGCCTCCTTCACAGCCTCCGTAACTGCCATATACTCTGCCTCCGTCGTAGACAAAGCCACCGTCGACTGTAAGGTGCATCTCCAACACACCGGCGCACGGGTCAAAATGAACACATACCCCGTCGTAGACCGGCGCTTATCCAAATCCCCGGCATAATCCGAATCAACATAGCCAATGCATAACTGCCCACCTGTAGTGTCCCGCTCATAAACCAAACCAACATTGAGCGTACCTCGAATGTACCTCAAAATCCATCTCACGGCGTCCCAATGACCCACTCCTGGATCATGCATGTATCTCGAAACCATGCTCACCGCCTGTAACAAATCTGGTCTCGTACATACCATCGCGTACATCAAGCTCCCAACTGCGCTCGCATGTGGAGTATTCGACATCAACTCTCGATCTTCAACTGACTTCGGTGAAAGACCAGCTGAAAGCTTTAAATGGGATCCCAATGGTACACTAACTGGCTTCGTATCCATGCTAACATGGAATCGCTGTAGGACCTTCTTCAAATAAGCCATCTGTGTCAAACAAATTCTGCCCTTCTTCTTGTCTCTGCCGATCTACATCCCTAAAATGCGCTTCGCCTCGCCCAAGTCCTTCATCTCAAACTCATTTGAAAGCTGAACTTTCAACTCATCTATAGCCGACCTGGAAATAGAGGCAACCAACATGTCATCGACATAGAGCAACAAATAAATGTACGCACCTCCTTTCAACTTGCGAAAATATACGCAAGGATCAAACTGGCTCCGAGTGTACGAATGACCAATCATAAAACCATCGAATCGCCTATACCACTGTCGAGGAGACTGTTTCAAACCGTATAGCGATTTCTTCAATCTGCAAACTAATTTTTCCTTCCCTGCAGTTCGGAATCACAATGGCTGAGTCATATATATTTCTTCATCAAGATCACCATGAAGAAATGTTGTCTTCATATCCAACTGATCTAATTCCAAACCATACTGTGCCACCAAAGCTAGCAAAATCCGAATCGAAGAGTGCTTCACTACCGGAGAGAAAACCTCATTATAGTCAATACTTTCCTCCTGTGCATAGCCCTTCGCAACCAACCTAGCCTTGAATCTCAACGGAGTGCCTTCAATGCCCTCCTTCTTCGTGTATACCCACTTGCAACCAATTGCCTTCCGCCCCTTTGGAAGCTCAACAAGCTCCCATGTATCGTTCTTATGAAGAGATTCCATCTCCTCCTGCATAGCCACCTGCCACGAATCAGCCTCCGAACTCTGCTCGGCCTCTCTGAATGTAGTAGGCACTAACTCATCGATACTCTCCACCGGAAGTGCATACGCAACTGTGTCGGCATACCGTGCTGGCATCTGTATGTTTCTCCTCTGTCTCCGAGCCGCAATAGAATCCTGAACCTGAGCCGTCGGTTCCTGATCCTGCACATTTGTACTCGTATCCTCCGTGTCATCGTCGTGCTCGCCTGGCGTCACCTCAGTCGGCACCTGCATGGATACTGTACCATCTGGACAATGTGGAGCTGCATCGATCTCCACCACCTGCGATATCTCCTCCGTCGGGTCGCTCTCCACCTGATGAGAGCTGGGAAGCTTCAAGATAGAAGCCTCATCGAATGTGACGTCCCTACTCAGCACAATCTTCTTATCAACTGGATCCCAAAGCTTGTATCCCTTGACACCACGCTTGAATCCTACAAATATGGCCTTCCTAGCTCGAGGTTCCAATTTATCAGTTCTAACATGATAATATGCAGGGCACCCGAATACCTTGAGCTGGTCATAGTCATGTGCTGGCTTTCCCGACCACATCTCCATAGGGGTTTTCCCCTCAATCGCAGATGAAGGCAGCCTATTAATGAGGTGGCTCGCATATGTAAGTGCCTCAGCCCAAAAGATCTTCTCCAAACCACTCTGCGACAATAAGCATCGGATCTTCTCCAGTAAAGACCGATTCAACCTCTCTGCCACCCCATTTTGCTGCGGTGTATGACTAACTGTGAAGTGTCTCTCTATGCCCTCGTCTCGACATAGCTGCTGAAAGGGGTCAGAAGTATACTCACCACCGTTGTCGGATCGCAACGTCTTGATCTTTCTCCCAGTCTGCAGTTCCAATCTCTTCTTCCACTCCACAAACAAATCTAGGACTTCACTCTTCTTCGTCATGGTGTACACCCAACAACGCCTAGAATAGTCATCTACAAAAGTGACGAACCAATGTCTACCACCAAGTGATGCAGTCTTGGTGGGACCCCAAACGTCTGTGTGCACGTAGTCCAGGATGCCCCTCGTCTGATGAATGGCAGTCCCGAACTTCACCTTTGTCTTCTTGCCAAGAACACAGTGCTCACAAAACTCAATCTTCCCACTCTTGGCTCCCTTCAATAGCCCCTGCTTGCACAATGCCTGCAGTGACTTTTCACCTGTGTGCCCCAATCTATAGTGCCAAAGTCTGCTCATGTCCGCTTCTGAAATAGCCGAAGCAACCTGGCCAATCTCGGTGCTTCCCTTCAGATAATACAAATTCCGATTGCGGACTCCCCTCATCACCACCAATGATCCCTTAGTAACCTTCGCTACAGCGTTTTCGAAAGTCACCTTGAATCCCTTCGCCTCCAAAGCTCCAACTGAGATAAGATTTTTCTTCAGTTGAGGAACAAATCTCACCTCCTTCAACTCACGGACTACTCCATCGTGCATCCTAATCCGTACGGTACCTATCCCACAAACGCCACAGGATTGATCATTTCCCATGACAACAACGCCCCCGTCGACTTTCTCAAAAGATGCAAACCAGTCTCGCCTAGGGGTCACATGAAAGGTAGCGCCGGAATCAAGCATCCAATCTGATGCATCCACATGGTTCACCTCCGGAGTAATCAGTAGAGAAAAGCACGAATCATCGGAATCATCGCCTTTCGCAATGTTCACCTCATTGGCCTTCGGGCCCTTTTTCTTGCTATTCTCCTTCTCTTTGAGCTTCGGGCAGTCTCTCTTCCAATGTCCCTGCTCCTTGCAGAATGCACATTGGTTCTTTGTTAATTGGTGGCGGCCTCTAGACTTTGACCTTCCTCTATTACCACCTTTCGGATATGGGCTTCTACCTCTCGTCGACAAGGCCTCTCCTGAAGTACTAGCGCGGGAAGTCTCCTTGTCCTTCCTCCTCAAATCATAGTTGGTCAATGCGTTAGTCACTTCACTATAGCTGATAGAAGATCTCCCGTTCAACAAAGTGAGCACGAAGGTATCATACTCCTCATCCGGTAAGGAGCCCAACAAAATAATCGCCTTGTACTCATCCGATATCTTCTCATCAACATTCGCCAAGTCCGACAACAACTTCGTATAGTTGTTCACATGAGCCGCAAGCGAGGTGCCTCTGGACATCTGGAATCTGAATAACCTACGCAGCAAGTGCAATCGGTTCTCAACACTCTTCGTAAGGTACTTATTGTTGAGAATTTCCCACATCTTCATCGCAGACGTCACCCCAATCACATCATACTTCAGCTCCTGTTCCAAACAGGACCTGATCACCCCACAAGCGTTCCTATTCATTTTCTCCCATACCGCCTCATCATATTTAGGTGGCCTCTCATGGACCATGATGGTCTCTTCCAAATTCTGAGCATTGAGCGCATCCTGTACGTCGCTCATCCACAAACCAAAGTTGATTTTTCCGTCATATTTCACCACACTAATTTTGGTGTTTTGAAAACCAACTTGTATTGTACCCGCCATCGATTTGCTGCTTTCACCTTCTTCTCCCATTGCGAACTAACTCCAAATTGTAGAGAAAGAACAAATTTGATAGAATTAGGAACCACCCAACTGAACCCTAGATCGGATTCCAAATAGATCTCCTATCCACACGAGGAAAGCGAAATCTCCAACGGCAACTCCTAATGCTATCTCCACCGCAGCCGAGAACTCCAAGAACTAAGCTTCACACAAGAATCTTCCTCCACCAAAAAACCCTAGATCTGAAATCTGGGCTCTGATACCACTTGTTGCGCGCAGCGGAAATTTCGGCAGCACTTCGGCAGCACAACAAGAGAGTCAGGTCGCAATAAGAATTCTTGTTTCTCAAAGGGAACAAGAATCTGAAGCCTATATCCTATCAAAGTAGGATATTAGCTCTTCCTCTCGTCAGCTCTAGGACTGCGCGTCGAGGGACCCTAAAAGCTATTACAAATCACACAAAAGCAGTACAACCAATTTTAACGTGGTTCGGCAAATTGCCTACGTCCACGGGGCAAGGAGGGGGGAGATCTACTAATAGAGGGAGAGAATACAAATAGGGTTTACACAAGAATCCAACAAATAAAACCCTCACACAAAACTCTCAGACCTCTCACACAAACTCTAAAAAGCAACAAAGAAAAGCTCTTTTTCGTACTTGCTCCTTTGCTTGCTCTCTGTAGCCGCAACCCAAGAAACAATCTCCTGCACTCACAAATATTTGCTGTAGCCGCAAAACACAAAAGAAAACAAATCCCAACCTTGCACACAAAACCTAAGGAAAAAAATCAACTTTATATATAGTTGATGATGTTCGGGTGGGCCTTGATTGTTGTCCACGAAACAAATTTCCTAGCCCAATCATTGGAAGTTGCCCAATTATATGTGATCAAGGGTACGGTTTAAAGATGGAGTTGAATTTAGACTTGGTCTTCTCATCTGGCCACTCCAAGCGTTCCCACCATGATTTTCCACCCTTGATGAGTGTCAGCTTCTCCGCATTCCATGGCAATCGCTTCAGCATTGGACACTGCACGATGTCGATAATATCCAACGAAGGGAAAGCTAGTGATAATTTTGTTGAGCAACTCAAGTTCTTAAGCTGTGGCAGGCAGTAAATATCCAACTGTTGGAGCTTTGGCAGAACATCAATCTCATGATCACCTTCCCCCGCCTCCTCCTCCTCCTCCTCCTCGCACTGGATCAAGTGCTTCATTTGTGGACAATCACCTATCTGTAAGTAGATCAAGTTTTCTAGGCATCCACTCTTCCATATGATTCTGGCTTTAGGAAGCCTAACTAGATACAGTTCCATCAATGTCGGCACGTTGGACCAGCCATCACTGGGATCACTTGCTGCGCCGTCAATTTCTACGTCCTCCAGATCGCTACAGTCGGCGAAGCGAAGATCTTTAATAGACTTGAACTCACTTCCCAGGTTTGCCGTTGAAAACGTTTTCAGGCCCTGGGAGAAATTAATTTCAAGGTATCGGGTGGAGTTAGCCAGTCGGAAGAATCCCGCAAGCTTCTGCAGCGCTAGAAGAGTGTTGATACTTATGCCCAGAGTGTTGAGCCGCTTCAAGCGGTAGAGTTCTTGGATATCTACACCGTCTTCTTCTTCTTCTTCTTGATCTTCTTCCTTAACGACTTTCCAGCTGCTGTAGCTGTGGTACATTCTCAGAACTCGAAGTTCGGTCAGCTTTGCGATTAATCCTTTTGGAATTTTCTTCAA